ATTTTTTCTTCAGTTCTCCCAGCTTGAGAAATGCTGACCGTGTTCTTCCCTTTTGGTTTTCTAACTCTAAATCTTTGCACATTTTATTATAGTATTTGGCTTTATCTTCTCGAGCTGATCTTTGAAATTTTCTGTTCAGCTCTTGCAGCAGGTGATAGGAACTCATTATGTGATCACGCGGTTAGCTTTGAGCAATAGATTCTGGTACCCCAGGGGTTTGAGGGAGAATGAAATCAGTGAGTTCTAGACTAGTTGAGGGAGCAAGATGGATGAATTCCTAGTACTGCTACAAGAAATTGCCACAAACTGGGTGGTTTAAAACAACAGAAATTAACTTTCTCATCTTTCTGGAGGACAGAAGTCTGAAACCAAGATGTTGGCAAGATTGGTTCCTCCTGCAGACTCTGAGGCAGAACCCGTTGCAGACATCTCTCTGAGCTTCCAGTGGGTGACGACAGTTCTCGGCCTTCCTGGCCTGTACATGCCTTACTCCAGTCTCTGCCTTGATATTGCCGACTTCTCTGAGTCTCTGTGTTTTATGTTCTGTCTCTTATAAGCATACTTTCTCCAGATTTTGTTGTTGTTAGGTGCCATCGAGTCAGTACCCATTCATAGTGACTTTATGCACAACAGAACAAAACACTCGGCCCGGTTCTATACCATTCTCACAATCCTTGTTAAGCTACAGCCCATTGCTGCTACCACTGAGCCAGTCCATCTCACTGGGGGTCTTCCTCTCTTCCATTAACCCTCCACTTTACCTAGCATGATGTCCTTCTCCAGGGATAGGTCCCTCTGATAATATGTCTAAAGTTTGAGAGACGAAGTCTCATCATCCCGGCTTCTAGGAAGCATTGTGGTTATACTTCTTCCAACACAAGTTTGTTTGTTTTTCTAGCAGCCCATGGTACTTTTAATATTCTCAAACATAGTCCAATATACTCTTGTATCAGTCCTTATCTTATTTACATCTGCAAAGGGCCTATTCCTAAATAAGGTCATATTCTGAGGTTCTGGTGGACATGAATTTAGGAAAGACACTAATCAGGCCACTTTCACGAAACCTGAACTGGGCCTTGAAATATCGGAACAATGTAGAGGTGTTAAGGGAGAAGGGAGGGAATTCCAAATACAGATTGGGGATGGTGATGAGCGCAGTAGGTACTCATTTAAGTATTTGTTGAATGAACATGACTAGGTCAAAAGCAATGCACTTCGCTTTGGGTTTAAAAAATCCTGACTCCTTGCATCATTGCTGAGAAGGTAAAACATTTATCTTGGTGATAGCTGTCAAAATTTTAAATGATCGAGAAATCCCTCTTAGAGGAATCCAGTTTAAAGCAGCTTTTTCTTGTCTTTTAGGATATATAATACTTTGTGATGTATTTCTGTTTGAACTATTTTTATTTTTTTAATTGAACAAGCACAAAGAGCATGTACTGATGTGCCCAGAACTGCTCTGTGTGCTTTGCAAATATTAATTCACAAATCTTTTAACAGTGCTTTGTGGTTGCTACCATTATATGAATCCCATGTTATTGATAAAGAAAGAGGCACAGGGTTTCGCTTCACCAAGCTTATGTGGAGAGTGAATGGCAGAGCCAGCAATGAAACTTGAATCTTATTCAGTGGTTTTACCATTCTGCTATCTGAAAGTTACAAAGAACCTGATAGCGCACATCTATGTCCACAGAAAGACCTCCAAATTGAACAAAGCAATTCATGGTCAGTATGTAGAACTGACTCCATTAACAAAACAAAACACAGTAAGATGTATATAGGAGCAGATACATAGATACATAGGAATGTATTCTAAACAGTTGATGGTGCTTTGCCCCTGGGGAGAAAAGTAGGGAGAGAATTAGGCATTTTCATGTATTTGTATGTTATTAAATTTTATACAAAACATATTTTACTCTTCAAGTCTTTAAAAAGCAAACAAAACAATAAAGGTAGCTTTTAAGTTCAAGAAAGTCTTGTTACTAGTTGCTATTTATCTGGGGCATCTCAATTAAGACTTGCCTTTTTAGTCCCAATTGTTTTGACTTGTCCCCAACAATGGACTTCTGGGTAATAAGATCTTAGGGCAGACTTAGTTGAATCTTCTTTTCTTTATCTCTGTTCTCCTTAGTCTCCCTAGAAAGTCAGCAATTAATCTACCATTTACTTTAATTGGGTTGAGCCGCTACATGTTTGTCATTGTTCCACAGTATTATATTATAGATAATAAATAAGCTTATTTTCTTTTTAATATGCTATAGTTGCAGTTTTGTGCAGGATGCATTATTTTTGATTGTGCAGGTCGGTAAGATATGGATATTCGTGTTGAAAGAGAAACTATGTGATATTTAGTCCTGACCATGTGGCTTTAGCCGGCAACCTTCAGGAAAGACCCTGGTTCTAAGGAAAAGTTAAATAATGTAAGGTAGATTGTTGGGAAGATAAACAGAATGTTCCCTCTACTAACCAGAGAATGCGAAGCTAAGTTTATTATTTGCTGAAATCTTGAAAGGACCTGCGGTATTATTACTATTCATGGCATGTAGTGAACAGTATGTTCAGGCCGGAGACACTTGCCCTATCACTGAATCATTATTTCTTACTATTTCAGAGGGACTGGTTCTTTAGTTCAGGAAGACATTTGTCAGTTTTCAGTATCAAAACAGTTATACAATTGGTTTCTCGTTCTCCCATTTGACCCCCCCAAAGAGACCACATTAAAGGAGATTATGGTTTACATCATTAAGCTGGAGGAGGCCCACTAACATACCTCAGAAATGGACTGAAATTTCTTCTGGAAAAATACCTTTAAGAATGGTTTTAGCTTTTTGTGCCCACATCGTCTTCATACCCCATTTCCAAATTCCAATCTAAGGCAGCCCTGTTAGTAATCATCATTGCATGCACACTACCAGATTGTAAGCTCCTTGGAGTAGGAGAGTATGTTTGTGTCGTCTTCGTATTCCCTTCCGGATTTACACCAACATGCTTTGTAGTATTCGATGATCTGGAAAGATTCATGTGATAATTAAATGGCATGGGTTGCTATTTTCTGTTAACCTCCTTCCAGGAGCATGGTGTGCAAAGCTAGCAGATAAATTGACTATGTGTATTGGACATAACATTTAGCATTTTCTTGTTCAATAGGAATTATCCAAGATCACGATGCCAGTTATATTTAATGAGCCTTTGAGCTTCCTCCAGCGACTAACTGAATATATGGAACACACATACCTCATCCAAAAGGCCAGTTCTTTCTCTGATCCTGTGGAAAGGATGCAGGTATGTACCAAACACTGCAAATGGTTTCAGTGACTCCCTGCCCATATGTTCAAAATGAGCATCTAGTTCAATGTGAGGCTCGAACACGTTCTCAAACTTAATCAGCATGTTTGGAGTGTCCCCTGCTTCCAATCTGCCATCTTCTAGTTACAGTGCCTCTAGAGAGGAAAGACAGATGAGAAGTAAAAGAAAAGCAGAAACCAGTGCATAAACCAAACCTGGATATTGTTTAGCTGTTTCTAAATCTTAACTTTAGAAACTATCATTAGAGTGCTTGTTGTTATTGTTAAATGCCATCGAGTCGGTTCCAACTCATGGCGGGCGACCCTGGATCGAGTTTCTGAGGAGCAGCTGGTGGAGTTGAACTGCTGACCTGTGGTTCAGCAGGAAAAATTCACCCTTTCTCCTTTCAGAATTTCTTAAGAGTGTTTCCAAGAAGAAATGAACACACACACGTGTGTGTGTAAATATATACGTGTTTTTGCTTCTGTGTGTGTATAAATATACAAAGGGACTTTTTAAAGTTTGTGGAAAAGAGAATTGAAAAATAATGGAATATTTCCAGGAACTTTTTAAAATCCTCTTCCTTACATGTTGTTGTTAAGCGCCTTCGAGTAGATCCAAACTCATAGTGACCCTGTATAGGGTTTCTGAGGAGCAGCTGGTAGGATGGAACTGCTGACCTTGTAGTTCAAAGTTCAGAGCTGTTCCTACAGCGCCACACCAGGAGTCCATATACATAGTGCTGGACATTACAGCAAAATACAAGGACCTGAACTTCTGAATAGAAGGTCTTTGTTTTATGTCCATGGATGAGTTTGATAACTGAGTACAGGGAACTCATTGTTCCCCTCGAAACAAAGCAGTTAGTCGTATTCTAAACAGAATCTTTCTGTTTTCCTCTCAGTAACTTAACTACTTCCTAACCTCGCTAGACCCGACATCATTTCATTGTTTTGTATCTCTTATCTCCTAAAAATGTACTTTTTAAAATATGCAAATGAATTAATAGTACTTTGGGGGCTTGAGAATGTTTTTTAAAGTCCTTTAGAAAACTTGTCTTAGTCGTAGGCTTTTGTACAAAATCTCATTGGGCAGTAGCATAGAAAAAGAAATTAATTTTCATTTAAAAAACCCAGGTTTCCCTATTTAGATGTTAGAGCCATATTTAAATTCCAAAGTAATTAAACTCCTTGAAATTATTTTATAAATCATAGTCCTCAAAAAAAGTCACTTCCTAAGAGGGTAAGGGAGTGCTGGGCAGTGTCTGACCTGTTCTAATGCTCTGTCCCCCAGTGTGTTGCAGCGTTTGCTGTGTCAGCTGTGGCTTCTCAGTGGGAACGGACTGGCAAGCCTTTCAATCCACTTCTGGGAGAGACTTACGAATTAATTCGGTGAGATCCTTTCAGTACATTCCAGATGGATAGCTGGATTCACATGGTTTATATTGCTTTTGAAGTCAAAAGGAAATTATTAGACTTTGAGCATCACCAAAACAATTTTGAATGGTTGGCGTAAGATCACAATCTTGATGCTTGTTTCTGTGCTGTTCACTTATTATTTGGGAGGCTATCATTTTGAAGCATACCTAAAAAGAACCATTATGAAAAGTAATGAATCACAAAGGTTTCAGTGGTGCTGACAGTATAGTACTTACCACTCTCTTTTTCTCCATACACAGCTTGTAAGACATAGCTGCATTGTTTTTTGTGACCATATGCATATTACAGTATGTCAGCATAAATGTCTTCAGTTCCATAAAGGCAAAGCAATGCATCTACAGTGCAGCTGTTGTTGCCTCCTCCAGCCAATGTCGTGTTTACACACATATAAGGGAACTCATTTGGCTCTAACTTTTCTGTATCCTCTGCACAAGTTTTCATCATATTTATTGCCTACCTATTTGAAAGTGAACACTAGATTTCTCCAAATATAAATGGAACACTGCATTTTAAATTCACATGGGTAATATTACTAATTCATGAAGATCAGCCAAATTCATTTGAATTATTTTGATGTGTTCAAATAGATAGAATTATTTTTAAATTATATAATTATAGCACTCACCTGTCAGTTTGTTGTACTGTGGTGGCTTGTGTGTTGCTGTGATGCTGGAAGCTATGTCACCAGTATTTTAAATACCAGCAGGGTCACCTGTGGTGGACAGGTTTCAACAGATCTTCCATACTAAGACAGACTAGGAAGAAGGAGAGATGGACCACTTCTGAGTGATTGTTATTATGAAGTGCTGTCACATTGGTTCTGACTCATAGAGACCCTGTATGATGTTTCGGAGAAGGGACTGGTGGGTGTCATCCAGCCTTGTTGTGGTCCTGTGGCTGTCTTACAGTGCCACACCAGGACACCAAAACCTTTATAAATCACAGTGGAATACAGTTAAATATAGTGCCGGAAAATGAGCCCCTCAGGTTGGAAGGCATTCAAAATAAGACTGGAAAAGAGTTGCCTCCTCAAGTAGAGCTGACCGCAATGGTGTGATTAGAGTAAAGCTGTCAGAACCTTCATTTGCTGATGTAGCATAACTCTAAATGGGAAGAAGCAGCTGCAAATATCCATTAATAATTAGAACATGTAATAAGTATGAATCTAGGAAAAATAAAATCATCAAAAATGAAAAGGAATGCATAAATATTTAGCTCACTGGGCATTAGTGAGCTAAAATGGACTGCTATTGGCCATTATGATTCGGAAAAGCAAATCAAATGATTTTGTAAATTTTTTTGAGGTAGGTTTACTGTGCCTAGAATGACAAATTGAAGAAGAGTGGTGTGACATTCATCATTTAAAAAAGCATTTTAAGATCAGTCTTGAAGGAAAATACAGTCTGTGATAGGATAATATCCATACACCTAGAAGAAAGACAAATGAATACCACTGTTATTCAAATTCACGCACCAACCACTAACGCCAGTCATGATGAAATTGAAGAATTCTACCAATGTCTTCAGTCTGAAATTGATCAATCAAGATGCACTGATAATTACTGCTGATTGAAATGTAAAAGATGGAAGTAAAGATCAGTTAGGCCTGGTGATAGAAATTATGTTGGAGATCATATGATAGAATTTTGCAAGACTTAATTCATTACAAATACCATTTTTCAACAACATAAATGGACACTATGCACATGGACCTCAACAGATGAAATATACAAGAATGAAATCAACTACTTCATAGGAAAAGATGTTGGAGAAGCTCCCCATTATCAGCCGAAACAAGGCCAGGGGCAGAATGGTGGAACAGACCACCAATTGCTCATATGAAAGTTCAGGCTGAAGCTGAAGATAATTAAAATAAGCATATGAGATCCAAAATATGACCTTGAATATGTTGTTGTTATGTGCCGTGGAGTCGGTTCTGACTCATAGCGATCCTGTACAGGGTTTCCGAGGCTGTAAATTTTTACAGGAGCAGAAAGCCTCATCTTTCTCCCGAGGAACAGCTGGTAGTTTCAAAATGCTGACCTTAAGTTTCGCAGCCCGATTCGTAACCACTACGCTACCAGAGCTCCTTGAATATATCCCACCTAAATTTGGAGGCTGTCTCATGAACACATTGATGCATTAGACATTAATGACCCAAAACTAGAAGAGTTGTGGGATGACCTCAAGATCATCATCCATTGATGATGCTTTGGGTAGTACTGACAAAGGACCTATACAAAGAAAACTACAAAACACTACTATAAGAACCCAGAAGAGACAAAAATGGAAGACTATACCATGCTCCTGGATAGGAAAATTTAACATTGTGAAAATGTCAGTACTACCCAAAGCAATCCAGACTTGCAGATAGTACCCATTTGACTTAGCCTCAATGGTTTAATAATGAGAACTCGACTAGAAGAAGATATAAAAGAAAACTATTTTTGATAAAGCAAATGAGGATAAATTGCTATAATTTGATGAACTTGACATATATTCATGGAGTTAGTAGCTCAAAATCCAATAGAGAGAGAAGGAGTCTTCACATCAAGTATCAATGCTATCTCCTCTGCATACAGGATAAATAAGGACGGACAACTTAGACATTGGCTACCTAAAATGAGGGGGTGATAAAGGCACAAAGTGACTGGCATACAAGGTTTCAAGAGGGAATTTAGTTGGGAAAGATAGAGTCCCCACTGAATAGTTTTCATCCTACCTATGTTGGGTCTAGTAAAAAGAGATGGGGATAAGATTCTTATGATTCAGTAGTGAGTAATTGTTATTATGACTGTGACTGTCACAATTGTAAAGGTAGAAGTTTTGTAACAAAAATGGGGGAGTAGTTAATCTTATAGTCCAGGAACAGTACTCTAGGACCATCAAGGAAGAATAGCACAAGCAGAATACGAGACCTTATCCAGAGAAGCAGTGACACCAGAGATGGAGGCAGAGATGCGAACAATGGAGAGGGAGAAACTGAGAACTCTAGATTCATGGAAAGAGAGGGACTGCGAGCTGGCAGCCAGGAGGCAGACTTGCAGAATGTGCCCTTTGGTTGTATAAATTATTATATGTGCCTGAATGTTTAAAAGAAAGAAAGAACATTATCCATGAAAAAAGCAAAAGGTCATTGAAAAGACCAAAATGGATGTCTGAAGAGACTCTGAAACTTGCTATTGAGTCTAAAGAAGCTAAAGCAACTGGAAGAAAAAAGTAAAAGAGCTGAACAGAAAATTTCAAAGTGCAACTCAAGAAATCAAAATAAAGTATTATAATGAAATATACAAAGACCTGGAGTTAGAAAACCAAAAGGGAAGAACACAGTCAGCATTTCTCAATCTGAAAAAAACCTGAAGAAAAAAACCCAAGCATCAACTTAAAATATTGAAGGATTTTTAGGGACAGAATATTGAATGATGCAGGAAGCATCAAAAGAACTTGAAATTCATACACAAAGTCACTGTAACCATAAGGAATTGCTTGTGGTTCAACCATTTCAAGAGGTAGATAGCATATGGTCGAGAACCAATAGTACTGAAGTCCAAACTGCACTGAAGGCATTGGCAAAAAACAAGGTTCCAGGAATTGACAGAAAACAAATTGAAATGTTCCACCAAACTGATCGAACACTGCAGAAACTGAATCATCTATGCCAAGAAATTTAGAAGATAAGCTACCTGGCAAACTGATTGGAAGAGATCCATATTTGCAAAGAAAGGTGACCCAATGGAATGTAATAATCATTGGACAATATCATTAATATCATATACAAGTAAAAGTTTGATAAACATAATTCAAAAACAGTTGCAGCAGTATATTGACAAGGAGCTGCCAGAAATTCAAGCCAGATTCAGAGAAGACATGGAACAAGGGATATCACTGCTGATGTCAGAAAGATGTTCACTTGTGCTTTAATGAGTATGCAAAGGCTTTCAGCTCTGTGGATCATATCAAATTATGGATGACATTGTGAGAAATAAATGTCCCAGAATATTTAATTGTGCTCATGAGGAGCCTGTACATAGACCAAGAGGCTGTCATTGAAAGAGAACAAGGAGTTATGGAATGGTTTCAAATCAGGAAAGGTGTACACCAGGGTTGTATCATTTCACCATACTTATTCAGTCTATATAATGAGCAGATAATCTGAGAAAAACTGAATTACATGAAGAAGAACATGGCATCAGGATTGCAGGAAGACTCATTAACAACATGAAATATGCAGATCTGACACATCTTGCTTCCTGGTAACGAAAAGGACTTGAAATACTCAGCAATGAAGACCAAAGACTATTGCCTTCAGTATGTATTGTACCTCATTGTAAAGAAAACAAAATCCTTACAACTGGACCAATAAATAACATCCTGATAAACAGAGAAAAGGTTGAAATTGTCAAAGTCTTCACTTTTCTTGGATCCAAAATCAACACTCATGGAAGCAGCAGTCAAGTAATGAAATGATGTACTGCATTAGATAAATCTGCTGCAAACAATCTCTTTAAAGTGTTGAAGGACCAAATATATCAGTTTGAGGACTAAGGTGTGCTTGACCCAAGCCATGGTATTTTCAGTTGCCTCATATGCATGTGAAAATTGGACAATGAATAAGGAAGGTTGTAGCAGAGTCAGTGCATTTGATTTATGGTGTTGGTGAAGAATATAGAAAGTAGCATGGACTGCCACAAGAGCAAATCAGTCTATCTTAAAAGAAGTATAGCCAGAATGCTCCTTAGAAGTAAGGATGACAAGATTTTCTCTCTCGTACTTTGGACAAGTCGCTGGAGAAGTACATCATACTTGGTCAACTGAAGGGTCAGGGTTCAAGAGGAAGACCCTCAATGATAGATATTGGCACAGTGACAGCAACAGTGGGCTCAAACATAACAGCAGCTGGACTTGATGGCTCAGGACCAGGCAGTGTTTTGTTCTGTTGTGCATGGGGTCTCCATGAATCAGAACTGATTCAACGGCACTTATATTTAATTTTGTAGTTTGAGTTGCCTTTGTACAGTTTCTCCAACTCTTATATTAAGTTGTTCTTTCATCAGGGTAACAAAGAACTGTATTCTTTGTTCAACTTTTCTCTTTAATACTTTATTTTTTGACAGCAATAACAACCATGCACAAACTCAATAATAGAGTTAATTATAATGCTTTTTCCTTTTTTTTATATCACTTAAGAGATGACCTTGGATTCAGACTCATCTCTGAACAAGTCAGCCATCACCCACCAATTAGTGCATTTCATGCTGAAGGATTAAACAGTGATTTCATCTTTCATGGCTCAATCTATCCCAAACTCAAGTTTTGGGGGAAGAGTGTAGAAGCAGAACCTAAAGGCACCATCACCTTAGAGCTCCTTGAGTAAGTTGGAATCAAGCTGCCAAACTTTCCCCATAAATACCAACCATTAATCACATACACCTGCATACAGACCTGACCTTGGTCAAGAACTAGGGAGGGTGGTAGCTTCTATAACGTGTAAAGGATCTCTCTCCATTTAAGAGAATATGAGAACTATGGCAATCATCGTCATTCTTGAGTCAGAGTGTCTGCTAGAAGTTTAGCTTGATGTTTGACTCTGGTGTTTGGATTTGTCTTAAGACAGATTAACCACCCCATGACAGCGCATATGAAGCAGGCTTTATAAATCAGGAGGTCAATGTTCAGTCTCTATAGCCATCTTTTACAGCAAATTCATCATGAGAAATGTAAAAATCACAACTGTGCAGTGCATCTTAGATATGAGGGAAGTTGGACAGTCTCTCTTTTGCAATAGCAATATAAAGACTAGCTTTAACTTCTGTGAACTGGCAGTTGTTCCAGTTCACAGAGTAAGCACACTCTCCCTTGTCTCTCCCGCTGATTGCATGGAAAATCCTGCATGGTGGACAGTTGCAGTTTTTGAAAAATGAATGGTCACAGGCACACCGGGGAGAGAAATTAAAACCCAAAGATGGATTTTAATTTTGTTTGTTTGTTTGTTTGTTCTCCTTCCTGCGTCTCCTAACTGACCCAGAGCAGCCCAGATCCCAGAGCTTGGCTGAGGAGATGGACAGAAAACAGTTTCCTTACTCTCTCTGTTCTGAGTGGGTTCATCTCTTTAGCAGACCTGGGAAGATGGACCCTTGCAGGAAGGAGGAGAGGGTGGAAACTGCTGCTTTCTTTTTCCCTCCCAGCCTTACCCCAGGAACAGGCTCTTGTCCCGCAGATCCCCTCCACTGATGGTCCTGGTGGCAACAGCCCACTCTGTTACCCAAAGCACAGAAAAGCCCTTCTCCTGACTAGAAAAGCTGGGTACAGGAACCTGTGCTGATGGGGATCCTTGTTCCTTGGCTTTTCTTTTTCTCTCCTGTCACATCTTTGCCAGAAGACCAACCTAATGTTGGGAAATGCATGGCCAAACCGAGAGGTTGAAACCCCACCTACTAGCCAGAGGAGCTTCTTTCAGTCTTCCTACCTCTAATTTCACTTAGTTTTCACCAAGTTTTTGGAGCCTTACAATGAAGAAGTGTACAGTTTATTTGGAGCTTGATAGAAGTACTTACTTTTTAAATTAAACCTTCGCTTTCTCTGAAGAACCAATGAGGGTGGTGGGTCATTGAGTTAATGCCAGGAGAGCTGATATTAAACCCAGAACTGAGTGGGTGCTTTGGTACCCTGAGCGGTGGCATTTGAGAGATATACTTTTCAAATGAAATAAGACTTTTCACTTTGCGGTTATTTTGTAGACATGGTGAAGCATACACGTGGACAAACCCCACCTGCTGTGTACATAATATCATCGTGGGCAAGCTGTGGATCGAGCAGTACGGCAATGTGGAGATCACCAACCACAAGTGAGTCAGGGCGCATGCGCAGTCTTCCAGCTCTCATCACACCCATCCCGTGGACTCTCTTATTTTATAAAAACAAAAACAAACCAAGAATTATGTAGCACAGCACAGAGTAAATAGAAGCCCTCCAATGATGGGGGCTTCAGAACAGGTTTATTAGAGTTTCTGATAAAGATGAACTCTGAGATTCCCCAACTTGTGAGAATCTTAATTCCCGTCTCAGCTTTTTCTTCTGTTGGTTCGTTTGGGTTATCCAGGTTGTTTCTCCTAAAAGGAAGGGGGACCATGAGTTCAAAAGAGCTGAGTTCAAGTCTTACTTTGTGATTTTAGGCAAGCTTAATTTTTAAGTTTTATTCCTGCTAGAAAGGTTATCATAATTATTATTCTGTATTGGTGTTGAATGATGATCTGAATGTACTGTTTCTTTCATAGGACTGGGGACAAATGTGTATTGAATTTTAAGCCATGTGGCCTTTTTGGTAAGGAGTTACACAAAGTCGAAGGCTACATTCAAGATAAGAGGTAAAGTTTGTACATGATCGGTGTTGAGGGGCCTTGGGAATGCCTTGGGGTTTCAGTGGTAGAGTTCTTGCCTTCCGTGTGGGTGACCCAGTTCAGTTGCTGGCAGATGTACCTGGCATTCATCAGTGGAGGCTTGTGTGCAGCTCTGAAGCTGAGCAGGTTTCAGCAGAGCTTTGACACCAGTGTGAACTAGAAGGACAGGCCAAGTGCTCTACCAGGCGTCCAGTGAGAGCCTGTGGTTCACAGCTGGCCAGCCCTCAGCTGACCCTGGGGCTGGAGAAGCAGCAGTATGTGCCAGGGCCAATAGCAGTAGGTGGTCACTCACTAAAAGTCAGTATTCAAACCTGCTGATGTAATCTTACTCAGCAATACAGTGAAAATCAGTTTTTCTATTAAAAGAAATACCTATTTCTGTAAAATATCTGATTCTTAAAAATCTTTCTAATATGATTGGTGGTTATGTGCCGTGGAATCAGTGCTGACTCAAATCAACCCTGCATAAGGTTTCTGAGGCTGTAAATCTTCACGGGAGCAGAAAGCCTAATCTTTCTCCCGCGTTACAGCTGGTAGTTTTGAACCGCTGACCTTGAAGTTCACAGCCTGATTCGTAACCACTAGCGCTAGCAGAGCTCCTTCTAATATGATTGTTGTTATGTGCCGTGGAGTCGGTTCCGACTCATAGCGACCCTGTACAGGGTTTCTGAGGCTGTAAATCTTTATGGGAGCAGAAAGCCTCATCTTTCTCCCGCTGAACAACTGGTAGTTTTGAACTGCTGACTCTGAGGTTAGCAACCTGGTTCATAACCACTACGCTATCAGAGTTCCTTCCTAGTATGATTAGGTTTCATCATCTAGTATGATTAGAGTACAGCAAAAAGACCTGTTTTAACTGTTGGCTCCGCATCCATTTTTCCCGACAGCAAAAAGAAGCTCTGTGCCGTCTACGGGAAGTGGACTGAGTGTTTATACAGTGTGGACTTGGCCACTTTTGACGCGTACAAAAAAAATGATAAGAAAAATACTGAGGAGAAGAAGAACAGTAAGCAGGTGAATGCCCTTAGAGTGGTATCAAAGGAATACCCAGACTCCCACGTTTGTACTAATCCCGTTGGAGGTGACCTGTTTTTATTCATCCCAGTTTGACCTTTTTTGTTTTTTTTTTCTTATTGCCATTGCATAGAGGGTTTTTTCCCCCCTAGAATCTCTCTCCTCTTTTTAAAAATTGTAAATATGAAGGGCTTCAAAAGTTCATGGCGTAATGGAATTGAAAGATAATACAATTGTTCCATGAACTTTTTGAAGCTCTATCGTATACATTTAACAAACCAGTTGCCATCCATCCCAATATTTTTCACAGTGACATTAATGACGTTTATCACAGAGTTCAGCTGTCACCATTATCCATTCCCAAATGTTTCTGTCACCCTTAACAGAAGCGTGGTGTCCTGTGTCTCCTGAACAGGAAGTCCCCCTTCCCCATTGCCTCCTACACTGAGTCTCTTTCAGTCAAGCAAACATTTGACTTAACATTTACCACTTAACAATGTGGGTTTACTGTCCCATATAAAACTCTGATGGATGGGACTTGGAAACCTTTCAGGTAGCTTTGGAAAGTGGTAGTTCATTTTAGTGAGGCAAACTTTATTTTCTTCTTTTCTGTTTATGTGCATTATAAATTCAGCTCCTGTGGATATTGAAAATGTCCTAAAATGATCCTTTGCATGCTCATATTTGTTGATTGTTTTGCTTTTCCCTGTCATGAAGTCACTTCAGTTATGGTCATCACTCTTCTTCCCTTACTGAACTTTCTCTTTATGGGACAGTTAATATCCTGATAGATTCCCCGTGGGTCTGGCACATAGCTTCTTGCAGGATGGCCCCAAGAAGGCGCTGCAGTTCTGCAGTTCCACAGACTGGGCAGAAGAAGGGAGAGCGAAAGGAAGCGGGCATCTGTGTGGACAGGAAGCATTTGTGTTGAGTCCTGATTGCCCCCAGTAACTAGGAGAGCACAGACTCTGGGTTAGGATCCTGTCTCCAGCATTCATGACTGGAGTTCTGTCATGTACAGAGTCCTGGCATGGTGCTGTCGGGTCAGCACTCACAGGGTTGCTGTGAGTCACAACTGACTAACAGTACTTAACAACAACAACAACCTGTTAGGTGAGCTGGCAGGTGTAACGGGCTCAGAAGAGAACCGAGCTCATTTTAAGATGAAGTGTGTCCTCTTTGCTCAAGGTATGTCTGAAGATTGGCAACATAAGCCTCACTCAAGAGCTTGTTAAAAATGCCAGGCACTCAGGTCTCACCCTGGGCCTCTGCAGTGGTTCTTACATATGCTAGAGTTGAAGAAACCCTAAGGAGCCCTGGAGTGGTGCTGTAGAATAAGTACTGGACTGCAAACTGCAAGATCAGTGGTTCAAACCCACCAGCCACTCTTTGGAAATCCTATCCAGGGTCTCTGTGAGTCGAAACTGACTCGACAGCACTTAACAACAGCAACTTCAACAATATTCCTTAAAAAGCAAAAGGTATACTTATTAGTGACTTTCTTTGTAAATTGAACTAACCATGATCCTGAGGTGAAAGAGTTTTATTAAAGCTGCATTTTGATAAGAGAGACCAGAGCACCTGTTGTCATTGGCTCTGGCCTTTCTCATCACCCTGTACACGGTTCTGTGTTCCCTGTGATATCCTGTGTGTCCTGCCTGCTTTTTCTGAATTCCACAAGCTGCATTGCTGCTTCCCTGCAGCTGTTGGAGAACTCAGTGCTAAAGGAGGAGATGTTCCAGGACCCAGGGAGCCCGGAACTGAACTCCTTGTCAGCAGCTCCTGCCAACATGAGGCGGCCTGGCCAAAGACACCCTCACCCACATTTGTTGTCTGTCTGTCTGTCACAGAGGGGTGGAACAGAAAAGGACGTGGACGGAATTCCAGACATTGGCCTTCCTGTTCCTTAAATCCCTGTCGGTCTTCGTAGAGAAGTGGGCTTCCTCCTTGGAGAGCAAATGCTGCTCACGCGTGCACTCTTCCCTGCTGTGTTACCTTCCTGCCCTGGAATCTTCCATGCTCTGGGAAGCTTTGTGCCAGTGTTGTCACCTGCTTGCTGCTTTCTTGGGTGTTGGGCATTTGGTTTTTCCCCTTAATTATAAAATACATATAACAAAACGTTTGCCCCATTTTAACCATTGCTTAAGTGTAGAATTTAGCGGCATGAGTGTGCTGCCATTACAACTGTCCATTTCAAAAAAGTTTGTCATCACCCCACAGAGAAACCAGAAACTCGGTACCCCTATCTAATATCCCCCTGCTACCCTGCCCTTGGGAACATGGAACACTTTGGTCTCTATATATTTGCCTGTTGTAGATATTTCCTAAAAGTGAGGTCATAGAGTATTCGTCCTTTTGTGTCTGGCTTATTTCACGCCTCAATGTTTTTGAAATGGTGTATTAACAGTTCCTTAGCAGTAGTTTAAAATTTGAAACTGTGTGGCCTTGGAAATATTATCTGACCTTCCAAAGCCTTAACTTCTTTATATATAAACTTAGGGTAATAATATTTACTTATAGGTTCATTACATCAGGATTAAATATATCAAGTAATAGCACTAGACAACAAGGTCGTTTTTAATCACAAGGTCGAAGGTTCAAAGCCACCAGCTGCTCCTTGGAAACCCTATACAGGGTTACTGTGAGTCAGAACCAACTTGATGGCACTTAACAAGTATAGTTGTGACATATAAGAGGTGGTGGCGGATATGTGCTGTAGAGTCGGTCCCAACTCAGCAACTCTGAATAGGATTTTCAAGGCTGTAAATCTTTATGGGAGCAGACAGCCTCACTTCTCACCTGTGAAGTGGCTGGTGGGCTCAAACCACCAACTTGTGGTTCACAATCCCATGCTTACCCTATAAAGCCACTGTGCTCCAGTGGTGTTCCATAAATGGTGATGGTTCTGCACAATGTAAGTGTATTCATCTACAGCACTGTACCTAAATCGCATTCATGTGTTGTTTCTTACAGATGAGCACTTCTGAGGAGTCAGATGAAATGCCTGTGCCCGATTCTGAAAGTGTATTTGTTATCCCTGGAAGTGTTCTCCTGTGGAGAATAGCCCCCAGGCCTCCAAACTCTGCCCAGGTGAGACAGACTTTTGGCATGTGGCCTTCTTCTTTCTTGTCTTTGATAGCACTCACAGGGCCAGCCCAGACCCCTCCTGCCCCTCTGCTGGCGTCTGTGTGCCCATCTGCCTTTCCTCTCACCTGAAGACCCAAGGTACTTGTGATGTCCACCTCCTGGGATCTGGGTGAGGAAGGTGAGCTGAGGTGGGCTTTTTATTAGGACTTGTCACTTACTCAGGAGTAAGACTGCACCATCTTCAGTGGGAGCCCCCAGGCCCAGTAAAGAATGAGTTTAATGAGGAAAAATAATACTGTTACTTCTGCTTCTACTAAAAGTTGACATGGATGGACATGTGTCTTGTGAGGCCTGCTTTGAAATGTCTCCGAGATCTATACATATCCTTAGGCAGCACAGACTTCGGTGAAGCATTTAGATATGTGATCTGAAAACCACTGACCATTGCTGCCAACACGCCTGTCTTCTGGTCTACTTTTGGAACTATTCATTTTGCTTTCTGCCTTGGCATGTCTTAATTCATTCCCTTTTCTTCTTTTCAGATGTATAATTTCACTAATTTTGCAATGGTTTTAAATGAAGTAGACAAGGAAATGGAGAGTGTGATTCCTAAAACGGACTGCCGGTTACGACCTGACATAAGAGCTATGGAAAACGGGGAAATAGGTAACTCCCACCTCATGATGCCAGCAGTGGGTACTGATGCCCCCAGGGATGTTGGCCTGCTTTACTCCTCTTGATTGTAGGCATCACTAGGATACTGGCATTTTTAGTCTCCCAGATAATTATTCAATGAAAATATAGTTTTTGTTTTTGTTGTTCGTTTTGAAACTGGAAATCTATAGTAGAATCATTATTTCAGTGACATTTGTCTGACAGTTTTACATGGCTAGAGGTGTATCTTAAATGTTAGAGGGGCATTTGAGAAAACAATAACACCTTTAAGCTGCATTCTGATAATTTCATTGTACATTGGAGAATGTAAATATCACCTCATGAGCCTCCTCTGGATTCATTTTAATGTTTTATTCCAAAGTGTGAAATGCCTCCTAACTGTTCTTCTAACTCAGATTCTCAGTCTGGGATGGTTTCCTCAGGAGACATGGCAATGTCCAGAGACTTCAACTGTCACATCATAGGACTTGGGGTTTATCAGAGAGGTGCTATTGGCATCTAATAGTCAGAGGCTAAGAATTTGACGAGCCATCCTAGAGTGCACAGCGCAGTCCTCCACAACAAGGAACTTTCTGACCCCAAATGTCAGTAACGCCAAGCTGGAGAAACTAATCTAACCAGATGCTCTGATTCTCGCCTCAAATGATCAGTGAGACAATGCAGTGCTATTTTGGGAACTGTGAATTTCCTCTTAATGGAATCAGAAGGAGCTCCGTGAAGTCTTAGTAAGAATGTAGAATAATTTGACATGTTGTATTCAGGTTTCCCCACATTTTCACTGAAGAACTTTCACATCATATGGGGTTCTGATTGATAAATGCATGTGGTGGTGGTGGTGGTGGTTAGTTGCTACCAAGTTGACTCTCAAGCTCGGGGACTCCATGCCCAACAGAATGAACATGCCCAGCCCCTCCTAATCCTCATGATTGTCAGCAGGCTTGAGTCCTTTGTTGCTTCCCACCAAGGGCGTCTATCCTCCAGCACTGTATGTCATGATACTGTGTTGTGACCTAGGGAGTTTTCATTGGTTCATTTTAGGAAGTTGATCACCATGTTTTTCTACACAGTGTTAGTCTGCATGCGCTGTTAAAATTTTCCTACCATGGGTGACCCTGACAGTATTTGAAATACCAGTGGTATGGTTTCCAGCATCATAGCACTATGCAAGTCCCCACATCACAACAAATGGCACATTGGTGACAGGTAATATGCCTAGAGTTTGTTCAGAACACAGTTATGAAGACAGATGGTAGGTCTTAAATACCAGCTCTGCCTCTCACTAGCCTGGGTTCCAGTTCTGTGGAGATGATATTCATGCACACAGATGCTTCTCCATAGTATTATTGTGCTTAGGACAGTGCCTGGCATGGCCTCCATGCAGAAGAAGGGCTTTTCACTGATGTTCTTATTTTTATTTAGATCAAGCTAGTGAAGAAAAAAAGCGACTGGAGGAAAAACAGAGAGCAGCCCGCAAAAGCAGGTCCAAGTCAGAAGAGGACTGGAAGACCAGGCGAGTGGCTCTGTCAGGCTGTCTTGTGACTGCTTCCTGTATGTCAGTGTGGCAGGAGGGTGGGCTGTCAGCCAATACAGAGCATGAGTCCACCTAACATACACTCTACCACACATACTGTCCCCAGGCCTGAGAGAAAACTGATGTCCACCAAATTATTCTAAGTATTCAAGGTAAAAGAGGTGCATAAGAGAAAATGAAAAATCTATTTGGAAATTAAAGTTAAACTATCCCCACACAATTATCATAGGTATATGGCATTTAAATTAACTGTCCCTTCCATAACCCTGTCCCTTCCATATTTAAGAGGAAAAGTAAAATGAAGAGATAGAAATTTTGTCATGAAACATGACATTTGCAGGACCTTGCAGGGCCATTTGCTTTAACCAAAAGCAATGAATGAAAACTCTTAGGAAGCAAAAAAAGTGCCTCATAGTATTTCTTTACTTTACTGGTAAATGCCCTTTGCTGCTCTGGTGCTAATAGGAACATTTAGGACTTTATCACACAAATCTAACTTCACACCATTAAATAGTTTTACATGCAATTTGGAAAGAATGGTGAAGACACAATACTTTTCACAAATACCCTAAAAAACGACATCATATTCATAAAATGTTATATAAATTTAGGAACCCTTTGAGAAAACAATTTTGCATTTCCATTACCTAAAGAAGTTGTGGCTATAGGCAGTGGGCAACATGTTTTTTTTTAATGTGAGAGGATACCTAGGGAAACTCTGTAGAATTAGACATGTTGAGAATGCTAATGCAACCTAAATATCCATAGTATCATTGAGAAAAATGAAAGCCAGAAAGATTTGGATTAGACGAGTTTCTGTGGCTCTTCTAGAGCATTGTTGTATTTAGGTACTGTTGAGTCAGTTCCGACTCGTAGTGACTCTGCACAACAGAACAAAAACAGTTTGGCCCTGTACTATCTTCACAGTTTTGGTCACACTTGAACCATTGCTACTGCCACAGTGTCAGTCCATATCATTGGGGGTCTTCTTTTTCACTGACCGTTCACACTACTAAACATGATGTCCTTCTCAAGGATCTGGTCTCTCCCAATAAAATGTCTCAAGTATGAGATAAGAAGTCTTGCCATCTTTGCCTCCAAGGAACATTCTGACTGTACCTTTTCCAACATTTTTCTTCTGGTAGTCCATGGTACTTTCAAAATTCTTCTCTAACACCATAATTCAAGCTGTAGAATACTTTAAAGAGGTCTTGTGCAGCTTACTTGCCTAGTGCAATACATTGTTTGCTGCTTCCGTGAGTGCTGATAATGGATCCAAGCAAAACGAAGTCTTTGACAACTTCAGTCTTTTCTCCATTAATCATGTTATTAGTTCAGTTGTGAGGATTTTTGTTTTCTTTGCATTCAGGTACAATCCATACTGAATGCTATGGTCTTTGATCTTCATCAATAAGCATCTGAAGCCTTAACTTTCAACAAGCAAGGTTGTATTGTATCATCTGCATATCGCAGGTTGTTAATGAGTCTTCCATCAATCTTGATGCTATGATCTTCTTAATATAATCCAGCTTCTTGGATTATTTGCTCAGATACAGATTAAAGTAAGTATAGGGAAAGAATACAGTCCTGGCACACACCATTCCTGATTTTAAACCATTCAGTATCCCCTTGTTCTGTTTGAACAACTGCCTCTTGGTCTATGTACAGGTTCCTCATGAGCATAATCAAGTAAGTGTTCTAGAATACCCAGTCTTTACAGAGTTATACATAGCTAGTCATGATCCACACAGTGAAAAGCCTTCACACAGTTAATGAAGCACAAGTAAACACCTTTCTGGTATTCTCTGCTTTTAGCCAAGATCCATCTTCTGAATCCAGCTTGACTTTCTGGCACTTAACTTGTAGATGTTCTGATGCAACCATTTATGAATTATCTTCAGCACAATTTTACTTGCATGTGATAGTAGTGTTATTTATTGTTCTATGATTTTCTCATTCTCTTGGGTCACCTCTCTTTTGAAAGTGGATTTCTTCCAACCAGTTGGACAAATAACTGTCTCCAAATTTCTTGGCATAGATGAGTGAGTGCCTCAGGTGTTATATCAGTTTGTTGAAAGATTTCAATTTGTTTTCTGTCACTTCCTGGAGCCTTGTTCTTGCCAATACCTTCTTTGCAGCTTGGCCTTCCTCCTTCAGTACCATTGGCTCTTGATCATATGCTAACCCTTAAAATGGTTGAACATCGACCATTTGATAGTGACTCTGTGTATATCTTCCATCTTCTTTTGATACTTCTGCTGCATCATTCAATATTTTTGCCCATGGAATCTTTAAATATTAGAAGTCAAGGCTTGAATTATTTCTTTAGTTCTTTCAGCTTGAGAAATACTGAGCAACATGCATTTACCTTTTGATTTTCTAACTCCAGGCCTTTGCACATTCTATTATATAATATTTGACTTTGTCATTTCAAGTTGCCCTATGAAATTTTCTGTCCAACTCTTTGACTTAATTTCTTCCATTCACTTTAGCATTTCTATGCTAGAGAGCAAGTTTCAGAGCTGCTTCTTCTATACATTTTTTAAAATGTTTTATTATGAATTATGTGATAGTTTACATGGGAGAACATTAGTTTTACATTCATTCTATTGTATATCATTTCATTGCCATGGTTACAATTCCCTCCATGCATCATCAACCAACCAAAGGGTATATACTACAAGCCTGCTCCCCAGTCATCAGCACACAGCCCCTCTCCCTCTCTGGATCTTAAAGTCCCCAGCTGCTCCATCTCTCCACGTCATCGTCTCTGCCTCCATCTCTGGTGTCACTGCTTCTCTGGGTAGGGTCCCGCTCTCCGCTCTTCTCCACTGATGGTCCCAGGGACCTCCGCTCCTAGACTGAAAAGTTAATCACTCCCCTCACAATCAGTCCTAATAACAATTATTCACTATTGTATCACAAGAGACCTATCCTCATTTCCTTTCATCAGCCCCGCCTAGACAGATTGGATATAACTCAGTGGAGTTATATCCTCCACGCC